GGTGAGAGTGTAATATATAAATATACACCAGAAGGTAGCCTGGCTCCTCTCTCAAGCCAAGGTCAAGCAACCAGTTAGGAGGGGAAAGGAGGGGTGGGATATATAAGATACACTAAAAGCCAAAGAAAAGCCTGGTCTTGGCCAGTACACAACCTCACTCCTTACCCCTCCAATGGGATATAAAAGAGGTGGTACTAATGTCCCCAGACTCACAACCCTCCAAAACAGAATATGACCATAAATTGTAAGAGGTGGGACCAAGGGCATGCACTACAGATATAATTATGCCTGCTAAGGAGGGGGAAACAGGGACACTGGGAAAAGGCTCTGTGGTGTCAGAGCTATGGATATGTTTGCTTGAAACTAACCCCAATAAACATTGCATTGCCTGCCCTTTGGACTTCTGGTCTTCTGCTTTCTGTCTGCATGACAAGAACCAGAGGAGGGGTGAAGAGAAAGCCCCAAACAGAGCAGTATAAACAAGTCATTGTCCTGTATGAAATCTTAGTTTATATGGACTTCGCTAGTACATTTTATGTAGCCTGTTGTAAAACTAGGCAACTATCTAGATGAGTTTGTTAGATGCAATTAACCATTAGTAAGATGTTTTTAATATACTGTTAAGTGAATCATGGACTTTAAACTGAAATTCAAAATGGAGTATATGAACTCTGACTTTGAACTCCATCTTTGAGAGGGGACTTGTTTACTACAAAGACTCTAGCTTAAACCAGTCAGAACCGTTTTTTCCCGCCAAGTCCAACCCTCAGTGTTCCATCACCTCAGAAGCGTTCCATCACCTCAGAACTCTTCCCGCCAAAAAGGCTTTATAAGGACTTGTTCAGCGCCTGCGCGGGGCTGTCCATTCCAGCGACAGCTCATACACGGTCGGGTCTTCGCAGAGCTCCAGAGCTGAGATCGAAGAACAACATCTATCCCGTAGTGTGTTTGAGGAAGAGGAGTCCTGTCACCGTCATTCCTATATCCTGCATTTCCTGGTGTCCATCATCCCAGAGGGTCTCCTCGCCAGCGACGAGAACCATCAGTCGTCTGGACTCCCCAGTGTTCCTCCTCAAGGACTCTAAATCAGTCCAAGAGTTGTAGGTCCTGGGCATCACGCCTGTACGTGACATCTGCTACATCAGGGCAATAGGAGAAAGGTTTCTGTGTTGGGGTATTGTTTATTGTTTTGTAGAATCCCACGGGAGGGTTTATGGGCCTGAGCTCCAAGCTCTCAGAGTCAGTCACTGATTCACTGTTTTACTGATTCATGGTTTTGCTGTTTACTGTATTCTTGTATTTCTTCCCCCATTTCTCCCCAGTTTTCTGTACCTTTTATCCCTAATACACTTACCTTTATTTGCACCGTATTATCTTGTCTTCTCTTTATTTCATTCTATTTTATGGGTAGCTAAATCCACCGGTGACAGACACGGAAGGGAGCCGAGTCTGTGCTTTGGAGAAAAGGGGCTTTCCCTGTTATATCTTCCCTCTACCATCTCTCTCTAGTATTTCCTTTGAAGCGTTACCTTCTTCCCCTTGAGGTAACAAGTTGATGTATCCCCTGGAAGACTTCTGTGTACTCCTGGTTGAAAACCACTGGCCTAGTGGTTAGGGCACTCACCTGAGAGCTGGTAACTCCTCATTCAAATCCCCTCTCCTCATCAGAAGGGGGACTTAAACTTGGGGGTCTCCACATCCCAGGTGAGTACCTTTAGCCCAGTGGTTAGGGTAATGAAGCCCTCCTCCCTGATGCTTTTGTGTGAACTCCCCTGAGGGGCCCAATCCGGTAGGTACCATATCAGGATCTACACATAATTTAGGTGGCCAAATGCCTATCTTCCCCCAGTTCATAGAACTCTAAGCAGAGATAGACGCCTATCTCCAAAAGCGAGGGCTTAACACACACTTCTCTTGTCTGCATGTCCCATTAACTAGTTTGGGCAACTCCACATCTAGTTTGTTGGCTTGTGGATCTCAGTCTAAGGCACCTATCTCTCCCTACTTATTGTATAAGGAGCCTAGGCACCTATCTCAGGCTTTGTGGATTGTAGTGTTGTTCCTGTGATTTTTATAGAACCCTAAAAGTTGGATATGGTGATGCTCAGCATCACAACATCTAAGCCCCTTCATGGGTTGCACCCTAGGTGATGTGCCCAAGGTCTCACAGCAAGCCAGTCCCGGGGCTGGGGAAAAACTCCAAGAGCACTGAGTCTGTCTCTTACTCTAACCATTAGACCACACTCCTTCTCAAAGGCCCTGATTCAAGAAAACATTTAAGTATGCTCTTAAGTCCATCCCTACTCAGAAAGCATCTAAGCATATGATTATCTTTAAGAAAATACTCAAGTCTTATTGGCTTTATAAAATATTCTATTACTGCATGGAATGCCCTCCCTGGATTTGTCCTTAAGACCACTATCCCCAATTCTCCCTCTCCCTCTCTGCTATGGTGCTTAGAAGAAATCAGTGAACCAATGATGATTACATCAGTGGGGGGTGGGAACTTTTAAATAATTCAGAGCCATCAAGCTGTGCACATTGCAAGCCTATGTAACCACATGAACCACATCTTTTTTTCCCCTTCCTTCCCATTGTTTATTATATTCTCATTGTCACATTTTGTTTTAAATTAGATAGTAAACTCTTTGGAACAAGGACAGTTCATTCACATGTGTTTGTACACCTGTCACAAATGGGTCCAGATCCTGATTGGTACCTTTGGGTACTACCACAATACTTTAAATAATGTGTCAATTAATAATTTCAATGTGTGTCTTAAAGTTTGAGGAAAAGAGCATTAAAAAGTAATAGACTGCAGCTAATAAAGATGTATGTTTTTGTTATTTTAATATAAGTTATATGATGCAAGTATTCAAAGCCAGCCTTTGGTCTTCTCAAAGCCCATGACTGCATGCCTTTCAACCTACATTCAACCTGACTTAGAGAACTAGAAATACAAAAGGAGCTCAGCTTTAAAAAATGTATATATTTTCTAGTTTATTTCTTTGCCATGAAAACACAAACCAATATAAAGTGATCATGAGCATTTAAAGGAATAAGGAGATAAGTCTTCACTTCTGCAGCAGAAAGATGGTGGGGATGCTCAAGGACCCCTACACACACAAACTTTTTATGTAACGGTAATCCATTCACTTTGTGTTCAGAGTTGCTATCCATCTCTGTAAATTTATCACCATTTCATGGTACTGCTGAGACTTGTTCTCAGTTCATGAATTCTGCTGTACTGATGGCCACCAGAGGCTGTTATTGGCAGCTCTGGGCTGGCCTCCCCGCAAGAGGCTCCTTCAGTACTTCTGCTCATTGCTGTGCTTGTGTATGTGGGAAGAAGCCATTGGGCAGGGAAGTGAGCAAGAGACAAGCCAGAGGTATCAGGCAGCAGGGGCAGCTCCATCCACCCCATCCCCAGGTGAACCAAGGGAACAAATAAAACTAAGTGTCAGGAATATTTTTTCTTTTAATTAGGCTGGCTACAGCGGAATAGAGGTGCCAGCTACATGTGTTTGCAGTGCTGCTGCACCAATTTGCAACAGGGTCTGGATATTTTGGTGCTCTAGGAGCTGCTACATTTTCTTTTTCTCTCTACTCACACTGTAGATCAGGGGTCAGCAACCTGCGGCATGCATGCCAAAGGCGGCACGTGAGCTGATTTTTACTGGCATGCTGCTGCCAGCCGGGGTTCCGGCCACTGGCCCCGCTCAGCCCGCTGCCGGCCTGGGTGAACAGAACCCCCAGCCAGCAGCAGGCTGAGCGGGGCCGGAGGCCGGGACCCCAGCTGGCAGGAGCCAGCGGACGGAATCCCAGACCAGCAGCGGGCTGAGCCCCTCAGCCCGCCGCCAGTCCGGGGTTCTGTCCACCGGCCCCGCTCAGCCCGCTGACGGTCTGGGGTTCCAGTCACCAGCCCCTTGCCAGTTGGGGTCTTGGCCCCCGGCTCCACTCAGCCCGCTGCCAGCCTGGGTGAATGGAACCCCCGGCTGGCAGCAGGCTGAGTGGGGCCGGGGGCCAAGACCCTGGCTGGCAGGAGCCAGCGGAATCCCAGACTGGCAGTGGGTGAGCCACTGCCAGTCTGGGGTTCTGTCTGCCACCTCGCCACCGGCCCCTTGCCAGCCAGGGTCCCGGCCATCGGCCCCGCTCAGCCTGCTGCCGGCCTGGGATACCAGCTGCTGGCCCCGCTCACCCCCTGCCAGCCGGGGACCGGGCCTCTGGCCCTGCTCAGCCCGCTGCTGGCCTGGGGTACCGGCAACCAGCCCAGCGCTCTGCAGCTGCCCCCAGCTTCTAAAAAAATCTCTTATGTCTCGCACCCCCAGGGGGTGGGTGCACTCCAGGTTAAGAACCACTGCACTAAACTGATAAGATCTGCATTTTAATTTAATTTTAAATGAAGCTTCCTAAACATTTTAAAAACCTTGTTTACACACAACAATAGTTTAGTTATATAATATAGTCTTAGAGAGAGACCTTCTAAAAACGTTAAACTGTATTACTGGCACGCAAAACCTTAAATTAAAGTGAATAAATGAAGACTCGGCCACCACTTCTGAAAGGTTGCTGACCCCTGCTGTAGATGGTGGTAACTGGAGCCAGAATATACCAGGATCCAGCAAGATCCAGGTACCATGAGCCAGATGTGTTTTTCCAGGGGTTTTGTACCAGGGTGTGTCAGAGTTTCCCAGGCAAGCAGAAGTGGCTCCCCTTGCTTTCTGCGTTGTACAATTCAAATGGCCCAAAGCTGCCACGAGCAGCCAGGGTTTGGCTCTTGAGCCGGGATGCACCTGCGGCGGCTTTGTGCAGCAGGAGCTTGTCCTGGGGTGGGGGGCAGCGCCCCAAGCGTCGGGCCCGGGTTTTGCGGGGGCACTGCACTGGGGTGGCGGTCCCGCATCTGGCTGGACCAATTCCGGCCCGGCGCTACCCTTCCCCGCCCGCCTCCAAGCAGGCGGGGGCCGCCGCCTCCGCAGCAGCCCCCCGCTGGCGCGTGACTGGACCGGAGGCGGGCCCGGGCCAGCCCCGGCGCGCGGCCTGCAGGCTGCGGCAGGATGCGGGCCACGCGGAAGCGGCTCTGCTCCGCGCTGCTGGCCGCCTACCTGCTCTTCTCCCTCTACGCCGCCTACAGCGTCTTCCTGCGGCCGCGGCGGTCGTCCGCCTCCCGGGGCGGCCCCCGGCAGCCGCGGCTCGGCAGAGGTAACGCGGCGGAGGGGCCCGGCCGGCGGCTGTGCTGTCACGCGAGCCCGGGGAGTGAGCGGGGGCCGCGCTGGGCGCCAGCTGCTGCTGTCCAGCAAGGGGAGAGTGTGAGGGGACACTGCGGTCCCTTCCGGCCCCTTTGGCTCCTGCCCTGTGAAATATCCCCCCCGAGTGCCGAGCCTAGCGCCCGAGATGCCGGTGGCCGGGTAGCTAATGCCCAGTGCGGGCGGGGCAAGCCCCAGGGAGGCTCCTGGCGATTGGGCTTTAATACAAAGGGGTTGAGGGGAAGCTTTGCTCCCACCCGGTGGCGGCAAGAGGTGTCGCTTATGTAGCAAGCTGGAGAAGTGGGCAGCCAGCTAAGCCTTTTGGGTTGGTGGGGGTTAGCTAGTAGCCACTCATACGGTCTGAGGTGAGGCGCCTGGCCGTGGCATCTACGTGTTTCAATTGCTAGTGAGAGGCCCCTGCCCCAAAAAATCGGTGTGTGTTTATGTCTACGCTTGGAAGAATTAGCTCTTTAGCAGTAAATGTCAGTAATGCCAGCAGCACAATGAAGCTTTTGTTGATAGGGTCCATTTCTTTGATGGCATGTACATGATCCATGGTGCCGGTTTGTTCTGAAATTTTCTCCTTTTAGAGCTAATTTGTTTTGAATATGTGAGGTTTTACTGTAGTAGCAGTTGTTCTTAATCTAGCTATCAATTCAGAGGATTAAATACAGGCCTGGCTTCTAGAGCTAGTCACTCTCCTAACTTTGGTGACAGATTCTTTGTATTTTGTCATTAGTGAGACGTAACTTTATGCACATGAGTCACCTGGGTGGAAAATGCATATTTCCTGAGTCTTAAATATAGTTACTATAATATGGAAAATACAGGTCTCTCTTGGTTGTTTCGTCTCCCCCCGCTATCTCCCCTCCTCCCCCCTTTCAATCTTTCATTGCAGGAGCTGCTTATAGAAACTTCCACAAAGAAAATTCCTCATCCCCTGGATTAAAAAATTCACTATTTATTGTGGTAGCACCATAGATACCCAGTAGGGCTCAGGATAGCATTGTGCTAGGTGCTGTACAAACGTAGGCCCCAATGCTGCACAGGCAGACCTGAGCCCTGTCTACACTAAAGCTTCCACTATTGCTACCTGTGGGGAATTAGAAGTCTAATTTTTGTCACTGTAGACTAGCCCAATGAGCACAGATGCAAGCTATGCTGTAGCCATGGTTGGGCATAAGTGTGTTTTGAAAATAGTCTTGTGTGGACAGTACCTTAAAACATCTACTAAAATGAGACCTGTTATTTCTGTAACAATTAGGAGTAGACTTGTAGACCTAAGGTTGTTAATGCAATGTGTGTCTTTTAAACATAGAACGCTCATCTTTGGGAAATGAAGAATGGAATCCTTGGGAAGGAGATGAAAAAAATGAGCAGATTGCTTCACAGCAGAGATATGAAACTAATCTTCAAATGTTAAAAAATATGAAATCCCAACAAGAACAAACAGACCTTAAAGTGCAGATCTGGGGTAAAGCAGCCATTGGTAAGCATTTGTGATTAATTTGTTTAATACTGCTAAGTGACCATGGCAAGTCCCTTAACCTTTCTGTGTCTCCCTTTTCCTTTCTGTAAAGGTGAGTATAACAGTGTTTGCTTACCTGTTTAAAGTACTGTGCTATCTTTGGATGGAAGGCCTGGTATAAGTGATAAGTATTTATTATTCAGAACTGTATAAACAACACAATGAGAACAAACTTCAGTTCTTTGGCATACTTCGTTCATTTGCTTATCCTATACTGTTGTCAGGGACTCTCTTTGCTGGATTATCCTAAGCAAATTGCGTAGTGTTGCATTGTTCATTCCAGAGCACATAGTGTGATTCAAAAAACTGAAGAGTCCTGGTGAATACTTTTTCATACTGACTTCTAGATCAGAAGTTGAGAGAAAGAAACACTATGCGGGTTGTGCAGATTTGTTCCCTTCCCAAACTTTTTACTAAGAAGACTCACCACCTACATTGTCTTTTCTTTTCTTTTCTTTTTTTTGTGACCCACCATTACATATATGCACTACCTTCTGCCCTAGTACTGCAGCCCTAATCCCTGCCCAGTGCAGAGGGGAGGCCAGGGAAGTGGGGAGAGTTGGAAAGTGAGCCTGCCCCTGCTCACCCTTCAGCGATGGCTCCTGTCCCACAGGGCTGGGTGAGGGCTGCATGGGCTGGTAGGATCTGAGTAGAGCTGTGGCTCCATGTGCGATCTCAAAACACCCAGAATGCCTGCCCTACGGGACAGGAGCTGCTGCTTCGGAGTGTGTGTTGTGTGGGCTTAGTCTCTTCTGCCCTCCAAGACCTCCCCTCTGCATTAGGCTGGGCAAAGTGTATGTTTGCCTAGGCCAGGGCCTACTGATAGGTTAATATTGCCCTGGACACAGCGACCCATCTAGAACCTTCCCATATGTAACTTAAAATACTTTAGGGTTCATATTGAACTGATGCATGTAACTGTTTGCAGGACTGGGGCCTTAATTATCTAAAAGTGAACACCCTTTTCTTGACACTGCTAGCAATTAACCTGAAAGTTGCTCCATTTTAGAAGGTATTGCATTTCCTCTATCCATAAAACTCCAAGAACCTTGACCGTCTTAGAATGTGAATGGAACTTTTGGAGGAGTTTTCATTGAAACTAACAATGCCATCTTTAGATGGGGTTTTTTATGGTGGTCTTTTGTATTCATTGACATACTATACGTGGGTATTTTTCCGTTGTAAAAATATTCCATGTTCCCAGGGGAGAAACTTCACCTCTCTCTCGTAACTTCAAACGGTGTTGTCATTGGGCATGACTACACTATAGTGCCTCCTCCTTGCCAACTGTGGCTCTGCTGAGGCCTGCCTCAGTTTCCCCTTCACTCAGGGCCCCTTAAAAAGACAACAGTCCAAATTCAAAGCATTCACTTTCAGGGTGCCAATTTATTTATTCTTTCAAAATAGAACTCAAACTTAAGTCTGCATTCCAGTTTCAGCTGGCCCACCACCTCCTCCTGGAGGGTCTGTTTCCCTCCTGAATCAGGACCCTGCAGGAGCCTTCTCATTCCCTGTAGTGTCTTCAGGCATCTGCCAACTGTCTCCCCCCACAGCCAGCTGTGTCTGCCTTTATAGGGTCCAGATGCTTTCCCTTAAGCTCAACGAGGCAGCAGGTAGTCAGTCCAGGTGCACTGGACCCCCTTGCCTCTTAAAGGGGCCAGTCACCCTGTGACATTTGTACTTGTCTTAAGGCTGATAATGCTTAACATTTTAACAAATATATTTACACAGTCATTTTTTGTTTTCCTGTCCAGCAGTTAACAGGACACTGCCTACAATTTAAAAAATAACTGCCCAAATTTTGGCCTGATGTAGAAAATCCTCCCTTTCTAATTCCAAAGAGTGAGGGTGGGTTTGTTTATTTTGGGGGGGGTGGAGCAATCAATCCATGTTAAATAGGAAAATTTGACATCCACATCCCACTATCATTGCCACACAGTTCCTGAAACATTCCTTTTGGTATGATTTTTACAGTAGACAGGAGATGCCATGTATGCACCAAGTACTCCAGCCGCTCTTCATTATTTATGTAGGTCTTTACCTCTGGCAACATATTCTTGAAGGTCTGCTTGAACCTGCTGATGTGACTGCTCAGTGGAGAGAAGGAAGCATAAAGGGAGGAAAAACACATTTCAGGTACCAGTTGCATGACACTGACCTTCTCTTATGTTGACTTTAGCAGTCTCTGTGTTGAAAACATAAACACTGTAGGAAAAGGTGTCCAGTTGTATAATTTATCCCTCCCACTCCAACAATTGTAAATATTTTAATATGTATAAAGAGAAATGGTATAACAATAATGCTTGTTTTGGTGATTCATTCTGACCAACCATGAACATATTTATTGCCATACTTAATTTCAGACCTTGTATTAAATATGTTCTATATGACAGTTTGATGTTTAATTTAAAATGTAATTTCTAGAAATTACAAGAACAATCCTATTGCCCATCACTGCTTAAAGTCAGAAGAATTAGGCTTTGTGCAAAGAACTCAGTGGAAGCTGGCAAGGTTGGAGTTCACCCTCTTCTGTGGCCACTCTTCCCGCCTACAGATTACAGTTCTAGTCTCTACAACCTTATTCATCTGCACAAGGACCTGTGCACCACTTAAGCCCCCATTTAAGAGCTTAAGTGATGTTCAGAGCCTTGCATGGACCCTTTGATCTGAGGTACAGTCTCACAGGGTGAAATTCATCAGTTTTTTGGTTGGGTTTTTTTCATTACAGAATATGACCGTGTCGCTTTTTAAAATAAAATCATGTATACAGGTTGAAATAAACACCTGATGATCCACATGAGAAATTCACCAGGCCTAATTTTACACTAGTCATCTTTGTAGAAGTGATATTAATAATTTCATAAGGCCAGAAAGAACCATTATGATCATAAAGTCTGATCTCCCCTATAACACAGGTCATATAACCTCACCCTGTAATTTCTGCATCAAGCCCATAACTGAGCAAAAGCATATATTTCACAGAAACATCCAGTCTAAGTGAAAACAGATACACCATGTTCTAAGTAAGTTATTCCAGTGGTTAATCATCCTCACTTTTAAATAATTATGCCTTATTTCTAGTCTGAATTTGTCTAGCATCAGCTTCCAGCTCTTGCTATCAAAAATCTCTTCCCACCTAGGTACTCGAAGTCTTTGATCAAGTCACTTCTTAATCTTCTCTTGGTTAAACTAAATGGATTGAACTTCTTTGGTCTCACAACTCTTGTTGCTCTTTTCTGAACCCTTTAAAGGTGGACACCAGAACTGGACACAATGTTTCAAAAATGGTCTCACTAATGCTAGATGCGGTGGTAATATCGCCTCCCTGCCTCTACTTGATATTCCCTGGCTTATCCACCCAAGGATCATTTTTGCCCTCCTAGCCCCCAGAGCTCATGTTCAGTTGACCATCATGACCTTTAGGTCACTTTCAGAGTCACTGCTTTCCAAAATACAGCTCCCTCATCTTGTAAGTGTGATGTTCTTTGTTCCTAAATGTATGACTTTGCATTTGTCTATTTTAAAAATGCACAGTCACAAACACTCCAGCTCAGTAAGGTAGATAGAAATAATACAGAAAGTACATCTGCACATCATATTCACACCATCCCTTGCAGAACAACCTGAAATATTAGCAATTATATTCCTCATCACCATCAACATCGCCTTCCTCATCTTCACCAGTGACCATCATTCTGGCATCTCCCAAGGGATACATCTCTCTCTCCTACTGCCCACAGGCTGGGATGTAACTTTTATAATACATTACGCTGACGCCGCTATGTGTAATGCATATTCAGTAGGGGTATTTCCCCTCTTTCTTATTGTTTTTCCTCAATCTACTAGTTTTGAGGTGTCCTCCTTCTATAGGTCAGCATATTAATGATTTGAACTCATTATCCTATACGTCAGTTCGTTGCTATGGCACTCGTATGGCTGGATGTTCTTTCCAAAACTTTCCAAAAGCTGGTGTTAGCGCATGTTTCTGTGGTTGGCTGATGTCATTATGGACAAATTCTCCCTTACACTCTACTTCCAGTTCCCCAAAACATAGTGGTTACTGTTGGGCCGTTTATCTGTGCCAAAGTTCATAGGCTTCAAGCATCATGCTAACTGCTGAAGCCAATGTCTTACAGGATACAAGCCGTTCCTTGCATTACTGCTGAATATAATAAAGGCAAGGCAGAATAATAAAGGCAGTGTGTCAAGTTTTGTATAGTAAAATGTAACAGCGTTCTTCATCTGGCACATCAGTTTAAAACTGTTAAACTATCCTAAACATATACATAAAATAGAACATCAAGCTAATGGTGTTTTCATGGAAGTGAGTATTTTTGCTCTTTTGCAGCATCTTTTTATTATAAAATTAGTAAACTTGGTTTGGGACACTCTTGCTGTTTTTCACAAATATTTTTTAAAGTAAGGTTCTCTTTAGAATTTGTGTGTTCATGCTGTAGTTGTACTTTGCTTTAACCCAATCTATAGAATTGCCAGAAATAGCAAGTTCAGGGTAAATGGATTCATTGTGAATCATAAAATGCCATCCTTCCAAGTAGTATCATATAAGATTTTTTTTTAAAGTACACCTTATTTAAGTTTGACTTGTCTAACCTACTATTGCACTTTGTTTAGAATAGTCAGTTTACAAAGGATGACCCTTAGTGCTTTTCAGTAGTGTAATGATAGTGGTTTGTTTAAGTCTTTTAATGCTCATAATGGCTTTTGTATAACTCTAAGGAAAAAGAGAACTCTTCGGTACAAAGTATGCATTTGGAGCCTGATCCTTCAAGTGGCTGAATGCCTTCTGAGTGATGCCAGTGCACCTTGAGAAAGCTCTGAGTAGCAGTACAGGAGCTGTCCATCTGCAGACTCAGGCAGACAGCACTGCATCCTTTTATCTTTGAATGGAATGGAAGTTTGGAAGGTTTTCTTTTCACGAATAGAATCTTTTTTAAAAACCAAAACTTAGAATCAGTATAAACTAATTTCAGTCTCCCAGAAAAGTTTCCTATTTGATGTGAACAAGAGAATATTTGTCAAGACTTGACTTTAACTAGTGATAAGAAATATTTTGCTACACTTATGGATGGTTTTTAGAATCTTGACTGGTTAAAAACATTTTCTTCTTTAAATTATCTGTCAGTTTCAGGTGAATAATACTTAACAAATAGTTTCTTAATGTGTATCTCATTGGGAGAAAGGACTTCTTTACTGGCATTTAAATAGGCTGTCTTCTGGGTGCAATCAGATTATCCTAACCTCTTTAGAGGAGAAGAGTTTGCTAAGTCTCCATTTTAAGCAAAATCTATTCACATTTCAGATACTTCCAAAATGCAGAGTTAAAAAGTGAAAGTACCAATACAGCAGAAATTAAAAATTGGATAAGTTAGTTATAATCTATTGCATCAAGTATAAAAATGTGAATTCTCTCCTTCTATCTATGATTAATCTGTTTTTCCTTAATCCGAAATAGCCCAAACTTCATGACTTCCAGTCACAATACAAAATCCGCTTGTTTGATAGGATTTTGTGGGGAAGGATGAGGGTATGTTGTTAGGTGTGATGTGGGAATGCGGAGGTTTTTTCATTTTTATTTATTGGCTGGCTGAAGTAAACTGTTATCTGTATTTGACTATTTCATGTTGCTGGCTCATGGAGTTTTTGTGCATTATTATTATAGTCTGTAGGCTGCTGGGAGTGTGTGTGTGGGGCGTCTTGCTATTGTTAATTATTGGTGGGGCACTGAGACCTTTTTATATGGGTATTTTTTAAAAGTATTAACTCTAAAGACATAATTGCCAAAATACCAGTTAAAATGGGCATGTAAATAAACTCAGGGTATTTCTTTGTTCTCATTGATGCAGAATATGGTGGCATAACAGGACATGATATATCTACCCCAAAAATTTTCAGAAGAATAATTTAACGTCCCTAGAACTTTTCAAATGTAAATTTAAAAAAAAAAAAAACACTTTGGAGAACATAGTCAGATTTGACTTTAAGAATGACCCACCTTCCCAGTTCTAAGTTACACTCAGGGAATTTTTAGAACATTAACGCTGAATTGCTTCCCAGATTGTTTGCAGGATCAGAACCCAAGTATTTACGGACATGTTTAACTTCACA